TACAGTTTTTTTTTTTCTTTTCAAATTTTTAATTTAAATTCTAGTTAGTTAGCACACAGTGCAATATTGCTTTCAGGAGTAGAGTAGAATTCAGTGATTGATCACTTACGCACAATACCGAGTGCTCATCACAAGTGCCCTCCTTGAGACCCATCACCATCTAGCCCCACCCACCTCCCTCCACCAACCTCGGTCTGTTCTCTGTCTTTGAGAGTCTCTTGGGTGGCTCAGTCAGTTAAGCATCTGACCCTCAGTCCAGGTCTTGATCTCAGGGTCATGAGTTCAAGCCCCATGTTGGGCTCTGTGCTAGGGATGGAGCCTACTTAAAAGAGAAGAGTCTCTTATGGTTTGTTTCCCTCTCTTTTTTTTTCCTTCCCGTGTGCTCATCTGTTTTGTTTCTTAAATTCCACAGGAGTGAAATCATACGGTATTTGTCTTTATCCGACTGACTTAATTGGCTTAGCATAATACACTCTAGCTCCATCCACGTCATTGCAAATGGCAAGATTTCATTCTTTTTGGTGGCTAATATTCCATTGTACATATATATATATATATATACACACCACGTCTTCTTTATCCATTCATCAGTTGGTGGACAGTTGGCCCTTCTCCATAGTTTGGCTGTGGTACCCTGAGTTTTAGAGACACAGGTTGTCGGTGTTTCCTATATCCTCTGTGAGAGTCGAGTTCTCCTGCCCACCTTTGACCATTAAACGTTGCAGTTGCTCAAGATTCGGTCTTGGACCTCCTTGCCCTTAGAAGTTGGGTTGAGCTCAGTATCTCCTCCTAGGCTCCCTCTTGACCCAGGACCTGTTCTCTGCCTGGAATGTCCCCTCCCCTCTTCATCTAGTCAAAGCTCAGTCTTCCATTAAGCCTTACTGGACGTCCTCAGGGGAGCCTTCCCTGATGTTCCTGACTAGAGGTCAGATCCCACTTGGAGCGTCTCTGAGCACTGGCTCCTTTTCTTTCTCTCACAGTTGCCGCGTGACATGTGCTCATGTACTCATTCAGCTGGGAACACCCTGGGCCCCAGTTGGGGACAACTTAATCACCGTCACCCAGAGCCTGGCGCAGAGTAGGTGCCCAATGAATCCTTTCTGAGAGAAGGGAATGCCTGAAGCTGATCTCCAATTTATGCTGTCCTGGGGGCGAGGAGAGGATGCCTTTTCTAGAAGGTCCAGGCAGGGAGAGGTCTATTGGACATTCCCAGATGGCTGCCTACTCATTCCTCTGATCTTCGTGGCTCAGAGATCTTCACTTGGTGGCACCAAGTCTTCACCACGTGATTTGAGCGCGAGGGTGGGGAGTTTGGGGTGTGAGTAGCAGAAGGGAGCTGCAGGCAAAGAGAAGGCCTCCTGGGGCCCCTCTGCCTTGGTGTCGTTCCCTCCACTGAAGGGCAGCAGCTTAGGAGGTGCTCGGGCTTGGGAGGTGAGGTAGTTTTCATCTTTAAACACAAGGCGCATGATCGTGTCAAGAGTTTTTTTTGGTGGATGATTTATGGGAAAACCTTGATATGCTATTAATGCAAGAAGTGAAGCATTTAATGGAAAAGAATAAAAACATAGGAAATCTGGATTGTTCCAGAGGTTATGGCATGTAAGGTGTGGTGGGCAGAATAGTGGCCCCCCGGGACCTGTGAGTGTGTGACCTTTCACGGCAAAAGGAGCTTTGCCATTGGGATTCAGTTAATGATTTCGAGATGGGGAGACTGTCCTGGATTAGCCAGGTGGCCCCGGTGTCATCATCACAGGAGTCCTTGAAAGAGAGGAGACTGAATCTGAGAGATGGCAAGGGGCGCCACTGCTGGCCTGGAGGGGGAGAAAGCGGCATGCAGGGGGCATCCAGAAACCGAAAATATCCGGAGAAACAGCCTCCAGGGGGATCCTGGCCCTGCCGACGTCTTGATTGGAGGCCCGTGGGACCTGCTATGGACGCCTGAAGTGTATGATCGTGAATTTGTGGTGACCGCTTACAGCAGCAAGCAGTGACCAGTGCAGACAGGTGCACCCCATAAGCCTGGGGGACACATGCCTGCCCTGGCTTCGTGTCCCAGGGAGGCTGTGGGGGGCGGGGCGGGGAGGGGACAGGGGCCACCTGCCTGCTGGGCGTGGGGGAGGCATCTTGGGGGCTCAGGCTTACGTTTTACTTGAGGACGCAGGATGTAAGTGGACACGTTGTGCGGCCCGTTCCCTGACCACTGAGGAGGAGCCCGTACTTAGGGTCTGCGGTGCCTTGGGTCTGGACTCAGGTTTTCTTGCTCCTGCTGAATGGTGGCCCTTTGGTGTTGGTATTTTTTTTTTAAATGCTTTATTTATTTTTGAGACAGAGAGAGACAGAGCACAAGCAGGGGCGGGGTGGAGAGAGAGGGAGACACAGAATCCGAGCAGGCTCCAGACCCCGAGCTGTCAGCACAGAGCCCGACCTGGAGCTCGAACTCACGAACCGCGAGATCATGACCTGATCTGAAGTCGGATGCTCAACCCACTGAGCCGCCCAGGTGCCCCTGATGTTGGTATTTTTTGTTTGTTTTACTGCTAAGGAAACTGAGGCTGAGAAAAGTGAAGCAATTAATCCAGGGCAAGAACGAGTGGCAGAAACTTACAAGAAGTCGGGTGGGCTTGCCGCCAGCCTAGGAGAACTTGGGAGGGTTTCCCAGAGCAGCGAGACAGGTGGCTGCAGGTGTTGGTCGGGTCAGCTCTGCCCCCTCGATGCGGTTTTCCCCAGTTATTTTTCCCTCTAGTAACACTGAATGATTTTTGTTTTTGTGTGTTGTTTTTTGCCACTGGCTGAGAATTGGGGAGAAATCAGAGAGAAATGTATATACACAAGAATAAAGATAATATTGTGGGCTGTACTTTAAATATTTTTTTATTTTTTACCTTTTCGATGTTTATTCGTTTTTGAGAAAGAGAATGCGAGCGGGGTGAGGGGCAGAGAGAGGGGCACAGGGGGTCTGAAGCATGATCGGAGCTGACAGCACAGAGCCCGATGTGCGGCTCGAACTCACGAACCGTGAGGTCATGACCTGAGCCAGAAGTTGGATGCTCAACTGACTGAGCGTCAGTCAGGCACCCCTGTAGACGGACAGGCTGCTGGCCTTGTCGATTTGCAGTTAAGAGTCTGGATTCCAGGGTCACACAGACCAGTTTTGCCATTTTATTGCTTGTATTATTCCGGGCAACTGTCTTCTCCCCTCTGCGCTTCAGCTTCCTGTTTTGTAAGTTGGGGACCCAGGAAGGGCGCCTGGATGATGAGGCATCGTGCGCACCGAGTAGCGTCATGAGCGCTGGTGAGCGTCAGAAAGTGTTCCTCTCCCAGAGCCTCATGGGGACTCTAGTACTGGCTGACATCACCTCCTCTTCCTTCTGGGTCTTGGTAGAAGGTCTTCTTGAGTGAGAACGCCAGCTGGAAAATGCCCGCAGGCCAGAGACTGGCCGCCGCTGGAAGCCATCTCAGACCTCACACTACTTAGCCTAATGACAGGGCTGTGGCTGGCCGGGTGAGTCTTTGCAGCCAGGACCAGATCTGTCAGTAATGGGGGTTTTTCACTGTTTATGTGAATGAAAACAATTAATGCCAATGTAGGGAGTTCTTGGGTTTTTTTTTTTTTAATTTTTTTAAACGTTTATTCATTTTTGAGAGACGGAGACAGAGCGTGAGCAGTGGAGGGGCAGAGAGAGAGGGAGGGAGACACGGAATCCGAAGCAGGCTCCAGGCTCCGAGCTGTGAGCACAGAGCCCGACGCAGGGCTCGAACCCATGAAATGTGACATCGTGACCTGAGCCGAAGTCGGATGCTTAGCCACCTTAGCCATCCGGGTGCCCCAGGAGGTCTTCTTATAGATACATTCACTCAGCTGGAAGGTCTGAAGCTGCCCCTTCTAATTTGCGGGGTTCCCGTGCCCTTTCTCTTTTGACATAATGGAGGGGGTATTAGGTTTATAGCTTAGTTGATTCTTGTTATTCACGGTGATTGTGTTTCAGAAAGTCATTCAGGGTTTCTGCCAACCCCGAATTAGCGGATACCGAATCATTGCTCCTAGGGGAGGTACAGGGTCGGTCTCCTGCAAGCCTCTGGTCACGGTTTACCTTGTGGTAAAGGGATATTTTGGTTTCCAGCCACTATTTAACATGCATTGTTGATTCATTAACGTTGAACTCCTGACCAACAGCACTGCAGCTCACAAGCTTCCTGTTGTCAGGGGACTGGACAGCAGGCCAGCCTTATCCTTGGGGGCCGTAGTGATGTCATGAACAAAAGACTCCAGTACAGAAAGGAAAGCACTAAATAGACCGTGAACAGGACACGTGCTTACAGTAGGAGAGCTGAGACAGGAAGGCAGCGGCGTTGCCTTGTTTGACCTCAGCTGGGGAAGCCGCACGAGGTGATACAGGTGTTTTTACCACTCCGCACCTGTCCGTGAGTGACCACAGCGATGCTGCGAGTATTGACTTTGAGGTTGTAACTTTCAGGCAGTAGGTGAATTTGCAAATACAGAGAGCACACATAACGAGGATCGAATGTACGTAGGCGCGTGTACGTGTTCAGGGTCCTTCTGACACGGCGGAGGTGGTGTTAGGTACACAGCGTATGGGGGTGTGTCGGGGGCAGGATGAGGACGAGGCTGTGCTGATCGGTGACATCCGCAGACCCCCGCCCCTCCCCTCTCCATGGCGGAGTGGAGAGTTGCATAAACAGCTCTTGGCCCCCTTGGATGCGAACAGTCCTCCGTGTCCTCCACCAGCCAGCCCAGCTGCCCTAGTGCCATCCACTTCCTGTTACGGAGTCCCTGCCCGGGACCAGGTCAGGTGCCACCACAGGCAGTAACACCAGGGGATGTGGAATTACATACCCAGGCATGGATGCTGAAGGGTACAGGTGGATACCAGAGCCATGCTTTGGGCTGGGGTGGGGTGGTGGGGGGGCTTTCCTGAGACAGGCCAGCGATTGGAGGCCCCGCATGCCAGTCCCGAGGAAAGAGCACAGCCATTTGACCTTGACCTAAGGCACCCATGCAACAAGTTGGAAGGGGGAGGTGAGGCACCGACCCATCTGTCGTTGGACTTGGGGTGGTTACTCCTCAGGATAGAACTTTCTTTTAGGATCGTTACCCAGATGCAAACGATGAAGGTTCTGAATTTGCTCTGGCCGTATTTTGGGGCCACCTTTGGGAATGGACATGGCGTGTTGTCTCCAGCTTCACTTATGACAGCGAGTGGAATTTGGTTTAGTTTCCAAAGAAAAAGACTATTCGTCATGTTCTTATCGAGGCCTCTCACCTACAGAACTAGAACAGTGCTGATTTCTCAACGCTGATGGCTGTTTGCTTTCATTTGTGTGACTTGGAAAGATTGATGGAGAAACGTCGCCAAAGATCACTTTGGGTGGCTCGTGGCCAGAGACTGAAAGGCTAGCAATTATTTTCATGGGTCTTTCTCTTTGTGCCAAGTGATACTTGCTTTGTTTTTGCAGTCGGGATAGGGAGTTTCCTTTTGGAGTACGTTTACAAGAAAAAAGCAGAGAATTGGCTTTAAGAAAAGTATGAACTCAAAGTTCATGAGGTTTGTAGATGCGCCCCCCTCCCAGCCACGTCTGACCTTTAGGAATTGGCCGCCTATGCTAAAATCTTGCTTTTAGTCTAAAAATATATCGCTGTAAGGGGGAGGAGGTGGGATAATCTGATTTTGTTAAGAGATTGAGCTTTTTTTTTTTTTTTTTTTGCCATGTTACCCGTGAAAAACATGATTTCTTTCTTTAAAAACGTGATTTTTAAACCGCGGTTACTTTACCACATCAATTGGGGATCCCGTTGTTGCTTCTCTCATTGTACAAACAGTTTGAGGGAGAGGCAGTTGGAAGGGGTCCTGGGGAAGGAGAGGCTCCCTGTGGGAAGTGGAAGGGTGGCCGGGTGCTGTTGTCACCACGGCGAGATCTCTGTGGCATTTGCTGAAAGCCAGGAGGGGGAGGCTGCTGGCTGGCCGCCCTGAGGAAGGAGCAGTGTGGACGGGGACCGCGCTGTCCCCATACGACAGGGCCCGGCAGGGTCTCCCCCCCCTCCGCCGGGCCATCTGCTGTGACATAGGGTGAAGTCAGACCTGGCCAGGTTGGACCTCAGGGGTTCTCAGCTCAGCACTACTGATGGTTGGGGTTGGCTAGTTCTCTGCTGTGGGGGCTGTCCTGCCCCTCGTAAGAGTGTCACAGCAGTCCTGGCCTCGCCCACTGGCTGCCCGCAGCACCATCCACCCGGCTGTGACAACTGAAGATGTCTCCACACGTTACCAAGTGTCCCTGTGTGCTGCGGGGGGCGGGGCGTGAGCGGGCAGAACCACACCTGTTAGGAGCCCCTGGACTAATGGAATGAGTATTCCCTGTGCATGGCCAGGTCCCTATTGTCCTTCAAAGGCTGCCTCCTTCTCTCTCTCTCTCTCTCTCTCTCTCTCTCTCTCTGTCTCAAGAAAAACCTGTTAGGCAAGAAGTTCATGTTTGGACTGTCCTACTTCACTAGGAGTTCAGCTTTCTGATAGTGACTATGAAGCCCTGAGCGGTCGGAAGAGACTGTTTGGGAAGTGTTAGGGGCTGCGGTGCATCCCTTCACACAGTCCTATGCTGAGCCCTTAACCCCCAGTACCTCAGATCGTGACCCCTCTCTTTGCAGATAGAGCCTTTAAAAAGACATCATTAAGTTAAAGCGAGAGGCCTTTAGGGTGGGCCCTATTCCGGTATGACTGGGTCCTTATGAGAAGCGGTGATCAGGACGCACAGAGAGAGGCCAGGGGGTGAGAGGAAGAGACGACTCGAGGACACAGGAGCAGGGCGGCCATCGTCAAGCCTCGGGGAGAGGCCCCAGAAGAAACCAGAGCTGCCCACACCTTGACCTTGGACTTGTAGCCTCCAGAACCGTGAGAAAATAAATTTCTGTTTAAGTCACCCGGCCTGTGGTATTTTGTGATGGCCGCCCAAGCAAATTCATACAGGAAGCACCTCATTTATGGCCATTTTGGAAAGCGTGGTGTCTCTTGCTGTTAGTAATAAGCCTTCGTTCTAAACTGATGATGAGTTCGTGAGGAATTTCCTTTAGAGAGTCCGGTCTCAAGAGCTCTGTATAAGCACATTGCAAAGTCATGTGGACCTGAGCTGACCTCCCCCCGCCCCCCGCCTCTTCCTTTTGCTTAAAAGAGTTCCCAGGAGCCTGTCACACACCCATGTTGTGCTTTGCGTGGTTTGTGGTTAGCTCATGTTGCATAGATTATGCGAGATTAATTTGATGAGAGTTATAATAGTTGCTCACCTCTACTCCGTGCTTATCAGGTGCCCAGCACTGTTCTAGAGTTGTAAGTGGATCATCCTCTTTCTCCTGACAACCCTACTTTACAGATGGGGAGACTGAGGAACGGAGGGTTTTTTTTCCTTTTAGAATGGTACCGGCTTAGAATGACAAAGACTTCCTTTCCGTGTTTTTAAAAGGCTCATTTTAATTTGAATGTAGGCAGCAAATTGCAGCTTGTGACCTGTCTTGATGACTTCTACTCTTTGACTTTTTCTGTAATATCTATTCAGAGCAGGTGATTATCGTTGAGGGGGAAAGGATTGAAGGTTTGTGAGACTTCAGTAATTTGGAGATGGGCGTGTGTGAATTCCACTGTTACTTTGAAGGCTGGTTGCAGAGGAAAATTCTAGAAACTTCAAATTACCCCAATAGCTATGAATTCTTGAAAAACATAGTATCTGTTTCCAGAGTTACATGTTGATTCTTATTTTGTTTTTCTTTTTAATGTTTATTTATTTATTTGGGCAGGGGAAGGGGCAGAGGGAGATCGAGAATCCCAAGCAGGCTGGTAGCCCTGGGTATTGTCAGTGCAGAGTCTGACGTGGGGGTCGATCCCATGAACTGGGAGATCACGACCTGAGCCGGAATCAAGAGTCAGACGCCCAACCGATGGAGCCCCCCAGGCGCCCCTCTTATTTTCTTGCCCTCTCTGTAGGAGACATGTTCATGCTAATGGGGGGGGAGAGTGCAGAATATCCATTTCTAAAACAGCTACACTCACCCCACAAAAGGAAATAATGCGATTCTGAATGCTCTTTAAAGCTTTTATATAGTCAGTCCCCATAAAAGTGCAACTGTAAAACGGGAGAACTCCCTCCTCCCCGCCACTATCCTCCCTCTTGTTCTTCTCCCCGAACTAGAGGCACCTGGGGGCTCTCATACAAGGAATGACACCCTCGTGTCCTGATAAATCACACAACCAGGTAGTAAACATGTAAGACGGCTTGTACTACCTGGCAGGCAGGGTTCTTTCCCCCCTAACTAAGCTGATTATGCATACTACATGCATAAAAATTATGCATAAATATGCATACATACATGCACATTAACACACAGAAAAGTGTGCAAATCATGCACAGCTCCGTGAATTTTCATGAAGTGAACACCCTCCTGTAGCCAGCCGGAGAACAGGCTATCGCCGCGGGAGCCCTCTCACGCTGCCTCCTCCCGCACCTTACCCTGTGTCCTGACTTCGTCACACGCGTATTGTAATTTGTTCGTCCCTGTTGCTGTATATGTAGTCATTTGTGTGACTGTATCATGATCTCTCTATCCACCTCTTTTTAAAAAAAAAATTTATACTTATTTTTTGAGAGGGAGAGGGAATGCAAGGGGGGCGGGGGCAGAGAGAGAGGGGACAGAGGATCCAAAGCGGGCTCCGTGCTGACAGCAGCGAGCCCAGTGTGGGGCTCGAACCCTGGAACCACGAGATCATGACCTGAGCCAAAGTCGGAGGCTCAACAGACTGAGCCACCCCGGCACCCGCTTCATCTCTTGATGACGTTTGGGTCATTTCCAGTTTTGCCTGTCGGGGATAGTGCTCAAACATATCTGTCGGTACATGTATTATGTGGCTTTGCTGGGCCCTAGGGTATATTTGCGTGTAGTTTTCCAAAGTGTTTGTGTTAATTTGGGCTTCTCCGGCCGGGAGAGTTCTGGGCGCTGGCACTGGTCTTGTCTGTCTCCTTCATTTCCGCCATCCTCGTGAGAGTAGTGCTGTCGCAAGAAGCGTGTCTTCTATGGTTCATCTGAGACAGGCTGCCTTTTCTCGATCCGAGGGTAAGCTGTAAACTTAGAGGTTATAGCCAAGCCATGGTAACCCTGAGCCTAAACTTGGCAAAATGGTCCCCTCATGGTGGTTTTCCTCTCTGACCAAACACCTTCTTTTTTTTTTTTTTTTTTAACGTTTATTTATTTTTGGGACAGAGAGAGACAGAGCATGAACGGGGGAGGGGCAGAGAGAGAGGGAGACACAGAATCGGAAGCAGGCTCCAGGCTCCGAGCCGTCAGCCCAGAGCCCGATGCGGGGCTCGAACCCACGGACCGCGAGATCGTGACCTGGCTGAAGTCGGACGCTTAACCGACTGCGCCACCCAGGCGCCCCCCAAACACCTTCTTAAGTGGTTTTACATTACAAGAGAAGGGTAAAAAATATATAAAATTTATTTTCTTTCAATTGTAAAATGAGCGCATGTGTATTAAGAACAATTACAGAGCAGAGAGGAGTAGAACACGGGTGTTGGCTTTCCCTTCAAAGACAACTGCCCATAACACCAACACCTACGACGTGCTGTTTTCTCCCTGCCTTGTTTCTGTGTGTACAATGTTCTACGAATGATAACCCATGTTTTTGCTTCCTACTGTTTTTTCTGTCTCATGAGGTATTTTGTAAGTTACCTTTTTAATGGCAACATGCTATTTCTTTGAGTAGCTGTGGCTAATTTGCTTTAACCAGCGCCCTTTATTTTCACAAGTTGTTTCTTATTTTAGTTTCACTTTTTTAAAATACATTTTTAAAATTTGATTGGGGGAGGGGCGGGAAGAAAGAGAATCTTAAGCAGGCTCCAAACTCAGCACAGAGCCAGAGGCAGGGCTGGATCCCATGACCTGAGCTGAAATCAACAGACACTCCACCAACTGAACCACCCAGGCTCCCCTGGTGTTACTTTTTAAATGTTTTCATTCTGAATGCTGGCCCTTGAACCAGA